ACCTGTCCGTAGCACAAGCTCAAAATTCTAACTAACCTATCATGACTACTTTTTTCTCTGTTAAAAATTAGTTCATATGTAAATAACTTAATTGCCAGACAGTGGGTACCCCAGCATGCTGCTGATAATAAAAGAAAATCCTAGTGGTGTTTAAGGTATTATTCAAGCAAGAACTCTGGCAGTCCACTACATACAAATTCATTTCCTCAGTTACTATGTAATTCCCCAAAACCAGTATTTTCTGATTTGTGTAGCAACAGAAAAATATGGCTAGACTACCTTCCTCAGCTAGAAGGTTCATATTCACTCTTAGATGAGAAATTCCTAGCTCAAGTCTAGCACAATGACTACATGCAAGGCTTCACACTTTTTCATGGTTGTTTGTCTGTTTTCTCCACCTCGAAACAGAAGAGTCAAATTATTCTACTACACTGTAGCTCTGAATGATTGTGCTTTGCAGGGAATTAAAAAGAGAGCATTTTTTACAAATAAAGAATGATAAGATGTCTTTTTTTTTTTAATCCTTCCTTGATATCATCTTGAAAGTTCAATTTTAGGTTGCTAATGAGTTAGACAGGAGTTGAGATGTATAAGCAAATTTATGATCCTACCAACAGTCATTAGGAAGAAGCTGTTGAGCTACCAGTGATGAACATAATCACAGGAGTCAATGATAGATAAAGCTGGGAGACAGGGCATTTTAAATCTTTATTCAATGCCAGTGCATACACTTTGTTGTTGGTTAAACCTAGACTGCAGGCAGATAAAAAGTAGTGATGAAATTAATAACACATAAATGTGCTGATATAAATGGTCATCATTTTGGAGGATCAAAGTTTCATAAAATTGTACTTCAAAAAAATTATCCTGTTGCTTCTTTTTAAATCAAGAGAAAAAACTGTGACTGTATACATGCTTGTAAGTATAACTCAGTGAAAAGGTAACAAATCACCAATAGAAAACATGACTTGTATACACATGTATTTGACTTCTTCACATTCAGCCTGCCACTGCTGCTATCCATACCTTCATGTCACTGTCAACTCTATTCAATGATCCTTGTGAATTAATAAACCATGAACTTCAGCAACTATGTTCAGCTTTCTTTCCTCGTTCTGGCAGTTAAAACTTAGCCATATCAACATAAGTAAACTGGATTCACAAAAAAATGCAAGTTGGTTAGTCTCTCCAGCATGCACCAAAGGAGCTAGAATTTATTTAGTTTAGCAATCAAGAGAAGGGGTCAGCAACCAGCCATTTTTATCTGTATTTAAAAAAGAAAAAAAAAAAACAAAAAAACCCCAAAGGTAAATTAAATCTTTAAAATTCAAGGATCTTAAAGACATTAATGAAATATCACTAAATATTTTAAACTTTCTGTAAGAGGTTATATTTTCATGTTTGTAATGAAAAACCTACATTCACAAATTTAAGTTTTGCAGTGTGAACCTTGAAAGTTTAATTGGACGCTTGCTAAATTCTGTTCTGGTTCTAAGGTGTGAAATTTATTTCAAAATTCCCATATTCTGGAAATAGAAAGCACTAATAAAAAGTAATTTCATGTGGCAAATCATCAATCTCATTCATATTGTGTCCAGTAGGGTGGAAATGATTACACAAAGTGGTAAAATCCTTGCTCCCTGTAAGTCATTAGAGCTTTATGCTTGCTTTTTCTAAGTCAGGATTTGATCCCAGTAGTGTAGGGATCAGTTTATATTAATGATTTATGATAGTGACTTGAATTTGATAAAGTTATATGGGATTACCATGCAATTGTTTCATTCACTGAGGTAACAATGCCGGCCAAAACTCTTTGCCTCTTAGCATATTTCTTCTCATGTTCAGGTATGTGCTATGAAAACAGACAAAGCTATTTCTGGCAACTAGACAAGCTATGCAAGAAAAGACTTCTGTATCACTTCCATTAAAAAACTTCCCCTTTCTTGCCCATTCTGTACACACTACGGGAGTCAATTGCCAAGGTAAAACTCAAGCCTCCTCAGATCAATGGTCTAACTTACTGGGGCCTCTCCAGCACAGAAGTTTCCTGACCCATCTTTTTTACCCTTCCTTGGAGGTCTGTAACAATTTTCTATAAATGTTTTACTACTTCTTTTAGCCACATTTTGTGATTGTCACATTAGCTAACCCACATATGTAATTTTACTTAAAATACCACAACCTCTAACTAGATCACCACATCACTTCCCATCTTCTGAATTTGTCCCTTTGTTAAATTGTATACTCCGATATTTTTATATTAAACCATTTAACCAAGATCCAGCTGTGTTTCTACTTTAAATGTTTACCATTTTCTTCTGAAACATCATTTCATTTCCTCACATTTCTACACAGATTCTCTTCGTAAAAGATAGTGAATATCCTTTCTCTGGGCAATGCCTTCTATTACTCACTTCAACAACTTAAAAAATTACTTATCCTTTAAAAATTGGCTAATCTCTCTCCCATCTTTCACTACCTATCCTTTTGCTAAAACAACACACATAAAACTGCTTACTAAAATTACAAGGCTACTTCCCTGCTAATTTCTTATACAGATATGGCCTGTCAGTTCTAGATGACTTTGGACCAGCCCCAAACAAAAGAAAATATTCTGGCTAGTATAATCCTCCATGGAACAATGTGATCTGTGTAAAAAATCACTTACTGAATCACCAGCACCTCTTTCCACTCCTAGGAGATCTTCCATTGAAGCAATGCCTGAATTAGTGCAGAGTGATTTGTGGCTTTCCAGCTGTCATTCATTAATTCTTAGGAAATACAATACACAATACAATAATATTCAGCCTGAAGTTGTAGTCTGCAGTGTCTTAGGAACAGTGTATTTTGCCTGCTCAATGTTCTTTAAACTTGTTTTCAAACAATAACTGTAGCCCATTGTTTCTATAACCCCTCAAACACATTTAATTCCTGGTGAAATACTGTTGGTTGCACAGACCCATAAAGAAGGAAGAGCAAGTAATTGCTTCTGTTAAGAGTCTAGTCTATGAAACACATGGCTGAGTTGAAGACAAGGGGTTTTACTCCAGTACTTTGCCATTCATATATCTTTGGCAGAGAGGAAAGTACCTGCAAGCCTGACAGCAGGGGCTAGAAGTGACCGTGGCACTCTGATCCACTGTCTTTGTCACTTTGCCATCCATCTGACTTGTAAAAGTTGTCCTGTTTTAGGAGTATTGCTTAGCTATAATTCACCTCTAGAGCTGCCTTGTTTCTTTGACCAGAGACAGCAGAGGATGTTGTGAGGTGCGGGCCCCATCTGAGGATCCAAGAGTCTAGGGACCTACCTTTAGAGCGAGCCAAGGAGCTGCTTGAACAAATCCAGTCAGAGAGACTGCGTAATGCCTGCTTCATCAAGGACTGTTGGCAAAATCTATGACAAGTTCAGCTCAGCCAAAACCACCTCACCTTTATACATGCACTGTAGCAGAACTTGTGCACATAGAGAAGTTTTCTGGTGGGTCTTATGCACGCACCCCTGGCTTCGCAGAAAACTGAGAAGGCTGGATAGGGGGGTTTTTTAGGTCTATTCTCTCTTGAATTTACATGTTAGTTAGCCTGAACTGCACATTAATTACCTAAGAGCTTTTTTTTTCCTTTAATTCTTACACAGTTGATTTAAGAAGTAAATAAAAAGATAGGACCAGGAGGTAAATATGAGAAAAGAATCATAACAAATACTGGGGTTAACAAAGTGAAGCCATTGTTCATTGTTTGGTAGGCACCATGACAGCAATTATTTTAAGGAAGGATTTGAAAAACAATGCTTTAAGTATTTTTATGGTGAACTCCTCCCATGCTCAGGGGTTTTCATGCTTTTAGCTATTACATCTGCAACTGAAGCTAACTGTGAAATTAGCAATTTATTTATCCCATGGTACATATACACATATTTGCAACAGTAAAAGTGAGTAAGGGTGAATCGTGAACACTGTGAGTAAAAGTCTGAACCTTTTTACCACATTTTCTCACTCACTATTTAATCAAATACCTGCAGATTCCCACAATGAATCTTTCCCTGTTTCTTCTTGTGGCTTATATCACTAATACTGTTAACACTCTGCTGTTATTTTTAAACAACATACATTGAACAAAAGAAAGTTGACCTTAAAATTGGCTGCCTGAATTGCTAGGAAGCAGAAAGTGCCATTAAGTATAAAACAGAACAATAAAGGCCTACAATTTGTAAACAGCTTTTGATTCTGCAGCATTTAGTAAAAACAGGTCTCTTTAGGAATGCATGTACACATTAAGACGCTTTTCAAGATTGTACCTTTACAAAAAGTGCATTAGAACTTGCAGTCTGTTTCTTGTATTGTGTCCTATTCTTAAAAATAGATAAACAGAAAGGAAAAAATATCTCTTATGGAAATTAATTATTTCTGATTATTTAGCCACAGATTTGAAAGAAGATTAAATACCATATACAGTGTTCCTAATCTTATTTGGAAGGCCTAATTGATATAAAAGCATAGTGAAGGCATATTAACGGTGCTAAAATTATCTAGAACACTCTGTTTATGTACATAATTACCAATAATTTAAATTTATCCATCTGAAATCAACTATTCATTATTCTATTTTATGTTTAGAAACGTCTGCAAAACAGAAATTTTAGTTTAGTGAACAACAAGCATACAGATGTTCCTAAGAAAAGTGGAACCTGAGACATCAGAAAAAAAATGTATTTCATGTCCCTCTTTCATCCAAAATCAATGGAATATAATAACAATAACTGTTTCTTAGTGACTTGTATGGAATTGGAGGTAATAAATACATCGGGATTGAATTTCCTGATAAAAGCAACAGCAGTAATACCTGTAGGCAATCTAATGTCTAGGCAATACTTTCTGAAAGTTTAGTGAGTGTCTTTTTCAACTTCTAATGATTTCTTTAAGGGCGAGGGTTTTTTTAAATTGTGCCTTTGAATTAAACTAAGACTACTAGTCTCACATCTATAAAATGACAACCTGAGTTACCTGTATGGCTGTGAGGATATTGGCTAACGCCTGGCCATATGTGTCATGACAGTGAACAGCAAGAGCATGCAAAGGAATTTCTTTCATAACAGCTTCCAGCATTCTTTTCATACTTCCAGGAGTCCCCACACCAATTGTATCCCCCAGGGAGATTTCATAACATCCCATGCTGTACAGCCGCTTAGATACCTGATTAGAAACAGAGAAACACAAAGAGGTAGAGATAAAAGAATATAAAATAGGGTTGAGAACATGCTTTAAAAGGGACATACTTCTGTAAAGGTTTCAAGTTTTGATCCACTAAAATGGACCTATGTATCAGAAACCCTCTATTCATTTTTGAAAATTGTCACCCAAGAAGAACATCCCATAGATTCTCTCATTTTAAATTTACAGTTCTCCTGTAAGTGGAATAACCAGCCAAGCCAAAGCTATCAAAAACTTGCTTTTTGACTCTCCCACATAATTCAAATAAGCAAGATTTTACACTATGAATTAAGTTTTTGGCAAACCCTTTCCCAACATTTTCCTCTCTCTGGCGATTTCCCAGCTGTTTGGTTTTCTCTGTGTACTTTTCAGCTTACAAGTTGTGCAGGGTAAACACCTGCCCTTTTGTTTGCTTATTACATGGGGCCAAGCACATGGCTGAACTAAGACAATAAATAATTAACAAGAAGTCTGATTTTGCTTTCTCTTGGCACTGAAAACATCAATGACAATTAAAGTTTTAACATGTTGCAGTTAATATTAATTTTGCTTGCTTTTCATGAAATTAAACATTAAAATACTAACAGAGCAAAACTGTAACTTAACTAACATTCTAGTCTTTAAGGTTTAAAATTCTTTTACTTAATCCCAAACAAACCCATATAGAAATAGTTCTTATTTATGTAGGTAGAGCCCTAAATGTTTCTGGAATTACATCATTGAGGAGTTCTTTGTATGAGTAAAAGAATTGAGGTCTGGCTCCATAATGTTTTTATGGAGAGAGACATGCACTCAGAAGCACATATTCATTTTTGCAAAAAAAATATTGCTTTAGAAATTGGATGTAGGATATTTCCACCTTACTTTTGTTGAATTTATTTGGAAAGTATTTCACCTTATTTTCAGTTGCTAAATATGTTTGTTACCTTTAGGATTCCCCACTGTGTACCAGTGATCCCAAAAGGCCACTACTCTTGAACAGAATCCCAGTCTGGAAATTAACTGTTTCGAAATGAAAAAATATGACCCTTTTCCAAGACATCTTCAGTTGCACTGCACTCTACTGTTAAAGCAATTCCAGGACTTCATCAGTGGGATTGCTGTGAATATGTCTGAGGAAGCTGACAAAGTGCTGCACCAGCAGTCTCGGAAGCGCTGGATTAATATTGCTGTTCACTTAATTTAAAGAACAGCTGAAAAAGAATTTCAAGTAGTCTGAATCATCCTGCTTAAAGCTTGGAAGTGCTATGACTATTGCAAATGCAGTATAACTCTTTGTGTTTTAAAGTCAAAGAGCCCCTGGTTCGTATCACCGTAAATTCAATATATGCTTTAAGAAACGGACATTCACCAGATTGCAAAAGGGGATTTTATGCCACGGCATATTTTTATATCATCAACACATAGCAGGTGTTTTAACTGGACTACTGTTGTAAGAAAAAAACAGGATCATCTGCAGCTAGTGGTGGATTACCTTTAGTTAATCCCCAAAATTCAGGTTTTAAAATCAGAATAAAGGAAGCAGGCTGCAATTTTTTCTCATGCTCTTTTAAATTCATGACAAAGAGACCACATAAACTGCTGGAAATCGTATTGCATTCACTTCCTTCCCATGCTTAGTCCCTAGGTCTTTCAGCTTTCCGAAAATAAAGTTCTGAAAGATGAAAGAAGAGAGGGGGAAACTCTGCTAACAAGCTGAGCATCATCACTGACTTGTCATGATCTAACCTTAAACTGACCCTTAAAAAGATATCTTATACTTAATTTCAAGAAGAATGTGCACGCTTGAAAGCTGAATGGGAGTTTTTGATACTGAATTTTCTATCCTACCATAGTAGGAGGCAGCCCATTAGTTACAGTTTTTAAGTTCTCAATGTGAATTTTTGGGAGGAGGGTGGTAGAGAAGAGAACACACTGTTTTGTCAGGGTAATCAGGATGTGATTGCCAGCTTGCAGCTTTGTTGACTGAACAGGGTTGTGTTCTGCACCACTGAGCAGCTTTCTATGCATCAGTCTTCTGCTGTTCCCCTTGGGAACACTGCTCTGACACCAAGCATTGATCAAAACAGGAGCTGGTGACCCAGCAATGCAACCTCTCAGGCCTGGGAATAATATTACTGCTGGAAATAATATCTAAAACTATACTCTTAAATAGAATGCAAAAGGTCATAATCCAGTTACAGATTATTTTAAGCAAAAAACAATGTAAACCCACACTGCAGTCCTTGTGCTGTAAGGGAAACTTTGATAGTCCAACAACATTCAAACAAGAGTAGTTACATTTTCTGTAGCCTGATCAGCCTGTATGTTGGGTAATATTTGAATGAATTCACTGCTCTAGATTAAACAAAAGCTAAGGAGAGAAAGAAGCAGACAGAAAAATAAAATCAGCCAAGTATACAACTTGGAATTCAATGAATAACACAACTAGCTTCAAGGATGTTATATGGTGTTTCCAACAACTTTCAAGCCTTATTTCCCTAAGGTTGAAATTTACAAACCACAGGATGATAAATGGTTAAACAGTGACTTCATTTCAAGCAGCAACAGTGGTTAAAAAGGATTATGCAGTTTCTTTTAAGAGAAGAGAATTGGCAGGAGTAGGGGGGTGTCAGTAAAGACCAATATGGGTATACCTGATGGATTATAGAAGCCTGAAGGCAATGAAATTTGCACTCATTAGGTAACTATGTGTAAACCAGTTATGTATCTAGTATGCCAGAAATGCGTGTAAATAATCCACCTCTTCTAATTGCTTTTGATTGAGTCAAAAAATAGTCACTGTCACTGGCTGCCAAAGAAACAGCCTAAAACTTTCAATCGTAGCTGCTGATTACAATGTAGAGTCAAGGAAGCCAAAACGCTCCCATCCCAGGAAAAATGACGACCAGAGTGGCAGCTCTCTATAAGGATTTAGCAACATGGCCAGTAATTTTGATAATTCTGATTCAGCAAGCGATAAGTGCATGTGTTTACATAAAATCCATCAACAGCTCATCAGATGCTTCTATATAATCATCAGTGCTTGCTGAATCAGGGCCTGAATTAATAACTCTAATACAGTAGCTTTTTTCTTAAACACATACACACTGATGTACAGGTATACAAGAAGACACTGACTAGGATGAAGACAGAAAATGAAATCACCCTGTGAGGAAAAGTTTGCAGGTTTGGAACATTAAATAGCATTCCCACTGGCAAACCGAAAAGGAGCTCTTCTGTGTAAGGATGGTTGTTAGTTTTAAAACACAAGCAACATATGGAAAGAAGCCTGTTGGGGAACATGATATTGCAGTAAGCAATTTACCAACAGCACAGCTGAATCTGTCATCACTGCTCTAACCAAAGCTGTGTCACTTCTAACTTTCACTTCATATTAAACCCAATTAATTCAGAAATACTGAGTACCTTCCAATTTAGCTATTTTAGTCAAAGAGTGTGAGTATATGTGGCTGCTGTGGGAGAAGCATTATCACAAGTTCCGTCTGGAATGTATACTAGAAGAAGATGCAGGAGAACATGACCTGAAAGCCACACATGCAGAACAAAATGTTGACTAGCTGCAAGTACCAAATAAAAAAATAGTGGTTTGGAGATTCTGCCAGATCACCAAAAATGAGTTATTAAGTGTAACAGAGAAGACAAGTCTTTCTTCAGGAGGAAGGCCACTGTGTTCTGCTGTGTGCTTCTTGGATTCTGTCTTCACTTTCTTCTCTACTGTTCATTTCAGCTTTGATGCCCCCTTTGCCTTCCTGCAAAATTTAACACTTGTGTTTCACTCATCCTTTCTTTGCTAGGAAAAAAAATAAAAATAAAAGCTGGACTAAGACATCTTCCTTCTCTTTTATCCTAAATGGGAAAAGGGGGCAGGGAGTGAAGGTACAACTCCATCATAGCAGTAGAGCAAGTTAAAAAATTATGTTGGGGATGAATTTTGGTTCATGTGTCAATCACATGACACTCACCAGAAGCACAATGTTGTAGCAGTGGCTCTGTCAGCTGACAGCACAGTATGCTTATGCCAACATAAAATGGATTTAAAAGCAGATACCCTTTGCAAGAAGTGGTGCTGGAAATCTTCTCATACAACATGGCCCACTGACCGATGTGCTTGAGTCTGTTTCCTTAAGCATTTCCTAACCTTCTTGTTGGATGAAACAGCACATAATATTTTTTTCACATGAGTGATAACATTCAAAATATACTATTTTCCTCAGATTTCACTGCATCTGGTCGAGTGATGTTATGCACCCATTTTTAGCATTAGCTACGTTTTGTGTTTGTTTTCCTTAAATTTTGTCCATTAAAGATCTTTAAGGATTAAGTAGAGGACATTACTTGTAGACATCTTAAAATGTATTTTTGATTCATTAAAAAGACAACTCAGAAGTTCACTCTTACTTCTGCCACTTTAGCTGGTATGATGTTTCCTTCATATGGGCATCCCAATGCACATGACACATACCTACAATAAAAAGAACACACAAGGATAGTTCTGTTTTATAGATGCACATCTGTGTCTGTCCATGTTACATTAAAAAAAAAAAGATTAAACATAATTTTGAATATTTAAGCCATCAATAAAGATTTGAATGAAAAGTTAGAATCACATCAGATGAAAATAGAAGGTTTATCCATTTTCTTTTTAAACCACAGAACAGATTTATAACTTTCTTTATGCTTAATGTATGTCACAAGTTGTAAAGGACTGCCAACACAGCCAAGCTAATGCTGCTGCAGGAGACTTCAATTTTTCTTGGCATTTCCTTCTAAAGTTTTAAGAGCCAACTCAAGTATTGCCTTGCCTGGCCCACACAAGGTATTCAGAGGAAAATACCACTTTCTTCCTTGTACTAGCTACCCAGATCTTAGACACCAACACATGGACAGAAGCAATTTATAACCCCATCATCTCACAAGTCATTAGAATTGTGGTGAATGGGGTAGTTTTCAGCCTCTCCGTCTGTACTGGCATTTCTGTCCCAGTCTCCCAGAAGAGTTACAGCTCCGCTGTAAGCTGCAGTTTAGGTACACTTTGGGACAAGAAGAAACTGAGAAAACAGACTGTGTCTCTCAGCAGCTATTGGCTTCTCAAAGCCCAAAATTCGAAAGCCACAACCAAGCCTCCATTGTTCAGTCCTAATGCTGTGTTAGCATAGAATTTGGTTGAAATTTCCCTTTTTTAATGACAATTAAGAGCCATGAAATTCCAATTAAACTTCTAATTGTTTATCTTATATTGATTAGGAATAGGATTAAACTAACTAGAAACAGACATTGAAACTCAAAATAAAAGGGATTTAGAACAGGTTCAGAGGTGGGCAGAGCACCAGTTCCAATGGGAAGTAGCTTAGTGGTTAATAGAAGGATGAGAGCCTTCATCAATTCCCCACCATTCCCCTTTCCTCAACACTGAAGGATATAATGTAAAATTATACACTGTATAATGCAAACAGTATTAAACCAATGCTAGTTTACATGTAGTCAAGGTCTGCAGGGAAAAGAATATATTATTTCTTTGCAATTGAGGAGAAACTGATAGAATGTGAAATTAGGATGCATAATAGACAAAAACAAACTGTGGGGGGAAAAAAAAGTCAACAATTCAATGCATAGAATATATCACATCTCTTACATGAAGGTATACTGTTGGCACACTGGAAGTAGCAATAAGAATGAAGCAAAACTTGAACCACAAAAACAACTTGATTAGCCCTGACAAAGAAATGGAAATTAATTTTGTTGCCACAAAAGTGGTTGGGTCCATTACATCCTGCTTGTACTTTTAGTCCAGATACCTACTAGGCATGATTTCAATTATCTACATGTCATTATGAAAACCAGGTTTTTGAAACTTGGCCACAGACTTCATTAAATGTCACCCCCAATTTAGATGTCACTGTTTGAGTTTCAAAATCCTAAATTTTCTTATCTACATTAAAGATTAAAAAAGCAGCTACTGTTAACAGTTAAACACTGGCCTGCTTTTCAGTGACACATAACTCAAAACCAATTCAGGATAATTTCCCTAATTTTTAATGCATACACAGTTTTTCAAATGAAACCAAGCATGAAAACTTTCAGACCCAAAGGATTACTTTTTACATAATCATACAGTGCCTAGAGGTAGTGAATACACAGACTTTTACTGAAATTATTTTGCAACATCAGCCACAGCACTTATTATGAAGTAAGAACAGTTCTAAATACAAAGTAAATGCAAAACATACAGTGAGTATGTGCACAGGTTCCCTTTAATTACATATATCTTTACATGTTCCTAGAGGCTACATATGTTAGATCAAGAAGACGTGCATTTGGTAGTGATAATGTGGCATGAATGACATCTGGAATTGAGTAGGGCAAACAAAAGTAAGAGCAGGCCAAAAGGTACCTAGAGAACAAGGGAATACTCCCTGTGGTTCACACCAGTGAGCAGAAACTTGCCTGAGCTCACATAATTCAGCTGGGCTTGCTGGGGTATGAAAGTATGCGGTGACCTGAGGAATCTGCCTACTATACTGTACAAATCTGTTTGAGATTATGAACTCTCTGCATGCTTACACTGTTGCAACTAGACTGACATTTTAAACAAGGAAAATATGATAGATATAATCTATCTGGGTATCTGATATTCAATGTTAAACTGGAGAAAATGAGGATTACTGAAGGAATGTGACAGGTAAAGGACTTCCTACCAGAGAGAGAACAAAGTCCTGTTGAGAACGAAAGAACTGTTTTTTCAGCAGAGTTCATCAAAGGATGAGCTTGGCAGAATTTTATCTAATTCATTTAATGTATTGGTATAAAAAATAGAGATATGGTGATAACACTGAATTTCTCAGTACTGTCAATACAAAAAAACCCCACAGGGATTCCATGGGGAAAGGACAAAAGCACTAGAAATGGAACTCAGCTGATGACAACAAAAAACCTGAAATGTTTAAAATGAGTAAAGAGTAAAATGCATTCCAAACATATATCAGGATAAGCATTTTTAATAGAGGATTAAAAGTATTAATTCAATTTGAGAAGTTCTTGATGTATTCTTATTGGACACAGGAGATACAATCTGTGTAATTTGTAGAAAAAGTAATGCAAGCTGGAACAGATGCAGGGAAGGGCTGAGTACAGTGGGCAGGGGTACAGAAAGCCTAGCATATGAAAGGAGAAAATATGCATCTGTGAAAGAGGAAAGATAACTATGTGTCCGGTCTGAGCATTGCCAAGACAGATAGACTTCAGGCAGCACCAAGTGGGATGCTTTGTAATTACATTTTTGTAGTTCCAAATTAACAAGCTTAAGTCAGATTTGAGTAGGAAGGTAGATCTGTTATCTACAGATATATTTGGCTGTTACGTTTTCTTTTTTGCGTATGTTATAACTCATAAGGCATTAAAAGCATAATAGAATCAGCCAAAGCAGAGTCCCAAGATCTTCACCCATACCCCTTCAAAATGGGGAACAACTTTGAAGAACATGCTGAAGAACTGCTTAGCAAGAAAAAAGCTAACAAGACAGAGCCACAGAAAGCAACAGAAGGCATTAAGTTTAAAGAAGAGTCTGGTCAACTGCAGCAAACGCTACTGACAAGTCAAGAAGAATGAGGATTGACTACTGTTTCTGAGATCTTGTCAATGGGGAGTTTGGTGAGATCTGTGCAGTTGCAAGCAAGGAACAGAAGCCAAGGTGTAGGAGTTACAGGAGGGAATCACAGAAAAGTCTCCAGAGACTAATTATAAACAGCACCTTCAATGAATTTAGGAATGTAGAAGTGATAGGCAATGAGATATGATATGAAGAACCAAGTAGGGTCAAAGGTGCAATTTTTAAGAGGCAAATGCTTGCTTATATTGCAGTGGAAAAGAGCCAGAGGACAGTGAGAGGTTAAGAAAGAGAATAAGGGAGGGGAGAAAAAAAGAGGAAGAAGAGAACATAGGGTCACTTGGATAAGTGGAAGGGGTACAGATGGAAAGTAGACAAGAAACTCCTGCTGCTTTGACAATGGAGGAGAAAGAGAAAGGATATGGGGAGAGGAAGAAGAGAGTGACAGAAGGAAGAGTATGCTGTATCTATTTTTCTTTAAGAGAAAAAGCAAGATCCTACGTGAGGAAAAGCAGCAGAGGGAAAAAGAGGGAAGAATTTGAGCCATGAGTTACAGAGGCAACTGAAATTTAATTTGGGGATTCAATTAAGTTGGAGAATACAGCTGTTTTCTAAAAAGGTGGCAGGACTGAAAGACAAAAAGACTTTGTAATGGAAAAGACTGTCTTCGTCTCAGGATATTCACCAGAGACACCCCACAGTATGAGAGCAGAAGCAACTATCTTGGAGTTCACAAAGCAGACGCTGCAATGGAAGTGTTTAATTCTGAGTATGTGCTTAAATCTTTGCTGAATCAAGGCCAGACATGTTAGTAGCTTAACTGCATCTTTAGCATGTAATCAAGAAAAGAGCCCATGCAACCAGAGGTGGAAAGAAGTACCTGCAATAAATGATCATATCTGTACAGCTGCTTTAAGGACACACAGTAAGTAAATGCTGTTTTGCGCACTCAGGTTGTGTGGAATCAGAATGTCTCCCTTTAATAAAAAGTGATAAAAAGAAGTTCTCTATTTATTTCACCTGGCAGCTTACCCAGTCTCTTGCTTGTTCTACACTGCAGGTATTGTTTGGTCTTCTCCTAAATTGTTTTCTATGTATATAAAAACAATTAAAAAATAAACCCCAACAACTTTACTGTGTAATATTTTGGACAAAAATGCTGAACACCCTCTGGGGATGGGGAGGGAGAAGGAAGAGGAAGAGAGTTTTCAATTTCTTCCAGTACTCCAAAACCAAATTGCAATGTTCCACAAATGGTATAGACAGTATAAGGTCTCCACGATCAAGGTCACTAGGAATGGTGATAAGCACCACACCAGCCCAATGACTGTGAAGTGCAGGATATAAAACCACAAACAGGCTAAATGAGCAAACATTTCATAGCCAAACTGTGTTAAAAGGAAAATGAATCCGAGCAGAAACTGAACTCCATGTTGTAATCAGCCCTTTGTCAGCTTGTTTCAGCAAGAGCTCCAGAGCCAGATCCACAGCTGCTACCACAGCTGGAAGCATGAAGCCTCCTGAGAAGCCAGTTGCAGACTCAGATGCTGCTGTTTCCTGTTTATTATTATAGTGTAAGTTCACATATAATTTACCATGTTCACTGCAGATGTATTTATTTTTATTGGATGTTCGTGCTAAAATGAATATGCCTATCATTTGGTGAATTCATATTATTGAGAATGATATATTCTGTCTCTTCGCAAAGGAAGCCATTTGTTAAAAAACAATCTTTACTGTAAGAAGAGCGGAAATAAAAAGAAGAGGGAAAGAAGATTCTTCCAGAAACAGAATCTCCAAGCCAAGCCTAAATGTGTAAATAAGGCCAGGATTTTTTTCCCCATTTCATTAGGAAAAAA